CTCACTCCCCTTTAACAGTCCCATATGGCCAGTGCAAAATTCTAATGGAGAGTGGGGACTAACAGTAGACTATCGTGGCCTGAACGAAGTCACGCCGCCACTGAGTGCTGCCGTGCCGGACAAACAGAGTCAAAGGCAGCCAAGTTGTATGCCACCAATGATATCGCTAATGTGTTTTTCTCAATCCCTTTGGCGGCAGAGTGCAGGCCACAGTTTGCTTTCACTTGGAGGGGCGTCCAGTACACCTGGAACCCACTGCTCCAGGGGTGGAAACATAGCCCTACCATTTGCCATGGACTGATCCACACTGCACGGGAGCAGGGTGAGGCTCTGCAATACCTGCAATACGTTGATGATATCATCTTATGAGGCAACACAGCAGAAGAGGTTTTTGAGAAACGGAAAAGAATAGTCCAAATCCTTCTGAAGGCCAGTTTTGCCATAAAACAAAGTGAGGTCAAGGGACCTGCACAGGAGATCCAGTTTTTAGGAATAAAATGGCAAGATGGACGTCATCAGATCCCAATGGGTGTGATCAACAAAATAACAACTATTTCTCCACCAACTAGCATAAAGGAAACACAAGCTTTCTTAGGCGTTGTGGGTTTTTGGAGAATGCATATTCCAAATTACAGTCAGATCATAATCCCTCTCTATCAAGTGACCGCGAAGAAGAATGACTTCAAATGGGGCCCTGAGCAATGACAAGCCTTTGATCAAATTAAACGGGAGACAGTTCAGGCAGTAGCCCTTGGACCAGTTTGGGTAAGACAAGATGTAAAAAATGTGCTTTACACAGCAGCGGGGGAGAATGGCCCTACCTGGAGTCTCTGGCAGAAAGCACCAGGGGAGACTCAAGGTCGACCCTGGGGTTTTGGAGTTGGGGATACAGAGGATCCGAGGCCCGCTATACTCCAACTGAGAAAGAGATATTGGCAGCATATGAAGGGATTCAAGCTGTTTCGGAAGTGGTTGGTACTGAAGCACAGCTCCTCGTGGCACCCCGACTGCCGGTGCTGGGCTGGATGTTCAAAGGGAGGGTCCCCTCTACACATCATGCAACCGATGCTATGTGGAGTAAGTGGGTCGCACTGATCACACAATGGGCCCGAATAGGAAACCCCAGTCGCCTAGGAATCCTGGAGGTGATCACGAACTGGCCAGAAGGCAAAGATTTCGGAATATTCCCAGAGGAGGAGGTGATGCGTGCTGAAGAAGCCCCACTGTATAATAAACTACCAGAAAATGAGAAGCAATATGCCCTGTTCACTGATGGGTCCTGTAATCTTGTGGGAAAGCATTGGAGGTGGAAGGCTGCTGTATGGAGTCCTATACAACAAGTTGCAGAAACTGCTGAAGGAGAAGATGAATCAAGCCAATCTGCAGAAGTGAAAGCCATCCAGCTCGCTTTAGACATTGATGACTGAGAAAAGTGGCCAGCACTCTGTCTCTATACTGACTCATGGATGGTGGCAAATGCCCTGTGGGGGTGGTTACAGCCATGGAAGCAGAACAACTGGCAGCGCAGAGGTAAACCCATCTGGGCTGCCGCATTGTGGCGAGATATTGTTGCCGGGATAGAGAACCTGATTGTAAGAGTACATCACGTAGATGCTCAAGAGTCGGGCCACTGGCCACTGAAGAACATCAAAACAACCAGCAGGTGGATCAGGCTGCTAAGATTGAAGTGGCTCAAGTGGATCTGGACTGGCAACATAAGGGTGAATTATTTATAGCTCGGTGGGACCATGACGCTTCAGGCCATCAAGGAAGAGATGCAACATACAGATGGGCTCATGATTGAGGGGTGGACTTGACCATGGACACTATTGCACAGGTTATCCATGAATGTGAAATCAAGCAAGCCAAGCAAGTAAAGCCTTTTGCTATGGAGGACGATGGTTGAAATAGAAATATGGGGAGGCTTGGCAGATTGATTATATCACACTCCCACAAACCCGCCAAGGCAAGCGCCATGTGCTCACCATGGTGGAAGTCACCACCGGCTGGCTGGAAACATATCCTGTGCCCCATGCCACCACCAGGAACACCATCCTGGGCCTTGAAAAACAAGACTTACGGTGACATGACAGAAAGAATTGAGTCAGACAACAGGACTCATTTCTGAACCACCTTCATAGACACCTGGTCCAAAGAGTATTGAGTAGGTCTATTACATCCTCTATCATGCACCAGCCTCCGGGAAAATCGAACGATACAATAGACTGCTAAAGACTACACTGAGAGCAAGCTTCAAAGATTGGGATACACATTTAGCAAAAGCCACCTGGTTAGTCAACACTAGGGGATCTGTCAATTGAGCTGGCCCTGCCCAATCAAAACTTTTACGTACTGTAGAGGGGGATAAAGTCCCTGTAGTGCACATAAGAAATATGCTGGGGAAGACAGTCTGGGTTATTCCTGCCTCAGGCAAGGGAAAACCCATTTGTGGGATTGCTTTTGCTCAAGGACCTGGGTGCGCTTGGTGGGTAATGCGGAAGGATGGGGAAGTCCAATATGTACCTCAAGGGGATTTGATTTTGGGTGCGAATAGCTAATGAAGTGGATTGTATGATGTTAATTGCTATATAATACTGTATGTCATTACTCCTATTGTTGCTATATGCCATATTAACGGTATTACAGTAAAAATCACCCAAATGAATGAAGAATGAATTTTGATGAAACTGAGCAAAGTGCAGCTATGATAGAACCAGACAAGTACAGCGGTGATGGAACCAAAACTGGCTTCAGGATGCAACAGTCCAACACCACACACCGTCTCTCCTGCCCTGAAGGACTGTTATGACAGATGGAGCCCAAAGTCATGGACTAAATGAACTCAGTGGGCATTTTAGAGGGATGGCCCATAGAGTTAGGGAATGATATCTGTGTGTATATGTCAAAAGGCAGGAAAAGTGGTGATGATTAATTGAGATGTATTGGGAAGTGTGGGACCTGGGCATGACATAGATGGTATAGAATAAGGGGTGGATATTTTCCTGGTTTCAGCTGGGATAGAGTTAATTTTCTTCCTAGTGGCTGGTGTAGTACTGTGCTTTGGATTTAGAATGAGAATATTGTTGATGATAACACATGATGTTTTAGTTGTTGCTGAGCAGTGCTTACACTAAGTCAAGGACTTTTCAGCTTCTCATACTGCCCTACCAGCGAGGAGGCTGGAGGTGTGCAAGAAGGTGGGAGGGGACACAGCCAGCACAGCTGATCCAAACTGGCCAAAGGGATATTCCATAACATATGATGTCATGCTGAACAAAAAAACCAGGGGGAGCTGGCTGGGGGGGGCATGGCTGCTGCTCGAAAACTGTCTGGGCCTCGATCAGCGGGTGGTGAGCAACTGCATTGTGCATCATTCATTTTGTATATTCTTTTATCTTTGTTATCATTTTCCCATCCTTTTCTGTCCTATCAATTTGTCTTTATCTCAACCCACGAGTTTTACCTTTTTTCCCATTCTCTCCCCCATCCCACTGGAGGGGAGTGAGCGAACGGCTGTGTGGTGTTTAGCTGCCTGCCAGGTTAAACCACGACAAGAAGACAAAGAAATTATGAGAGGTATGAATATACCTTAAGTATACACAGTTTTTGCAAACAGCAAACGTTGTCAATACAACTGAGCAGCTTTGTATGAAGTCAACAGCAAGTGAGGTTCACAAAGACACAGCATTCGTTTAAGTAAGGTAGAAATGTATTCAACTTTATACATAATGTTAAAATGCATATAATAATGGGCTGTTAAAAAAAAATTCTCTAATGTTTCTTTAATCACTTTAAGTCCTAAAATATTTTGACTATTTTTTCATGCCTTCAGTCTGTCAAATATATTTATCACTACCCCAAAAGGTGGAGTTCAACTGCTGATCAGGTGTTCCACAGTTATATTAAGTGCATGGAGAAAGAGAAGTCTATCTTAAATATTTTTTGTTAATTCTCTTTGAATTATATGGGCCTGACAAAATTCAGTGCTAGGATAAAAACGTAGCTGAATTCATCTTCCAGCTACTATCCACTATCTTTACAAACTGACAGAGAACAGGCTCTGAAGGACTGGGAAAACATGAGCAACATATGCTTATTTTTAAGATGGTGTGTGTGGGAGAAGAAACAAGATTAGGAGTTATAGAAAGGTCAACTTCAGAAAAATATGAGAACAAATAAACTACTTGTAAGGAGTCAGAAGAAAAAAAGCAGGTAGATAACAGATAACATGGATTTATCAAAAATAAATCACACCAAATAAATCTGATTTTTCTTTTTGATTATCTAAAAGTGCTTTTATAAGGGAGTAGAGCAAATTGTCCCTCACCTTACACGATATTTTTATAAGTAAACTAGAGAAATATGGTCTAATTCAAACCTCTGTAGACTGGGTACAAATTCAGTCAAAAATGGTATTCTTAGCGTAGCTCGCTGTACCAGGTAAGATTCTTTGACAGCCCTACATACAAGTAAGTATTTTTATCAAGTCCTAAGATAAAATACACATGTTCTTATTACGTTTTCCAGATGATACCATACTGTATTAAAATTCAAGTGATCTTGGCAAAGTTTTGATGAAAATAGAATGAAATCTAGTAAGGACACTTACAAGACTACAGATGAAGAGAGAAACAATCAACTGCATAATTAGAAAGATTGGTGTCTAATGGTATGTGTTTTTTTACAGAGCAGGATTTGGAGTTGCATCAGGCCAGACACTGAACACTGTCAGGAGTGTCATGCTGTTGCAAAAAAGGGAGATATCGCACTGGTGTGCATAAACAGAAGGATATCCTCTAAGACATATGAAGTAGTCCTTCTGCTTTACCTGACACTAGTAAGGTCTTAGTACCATGCGGTACAGAAATACTGTAAAATTTTGGTTTTGAAACACTTTTTGAAATATATGGACCTACTGACACAGCCTGGAGAAGAGTGGAGACATACAGAATGAGCAGAGGTCTAGTCAACAAAACCTAAGTAGAAAATTGACTAATTGACTAATTTAGGTTGCTGCAGTCTAGAGAAACAAAATACAAAACGGAATTGAGGGGAGATATGTTAACAGTCTTCAAGTACTTAAAAGGCTGTTACAAAGGTGAATGCAACTCCTCTATCCCCATGGTCATTATAGTAAGAAGTTAACAATTTTAATTTGCAGCAGTGAAGACTTAGGTTAGGCCAGGGGCAAGAATTTTATAGCTGTAAGGTTGTGGAAACACTGCTACTGAATGGCTGTAAGAACAGAATAACAAACATCTAGCCTACAGTCTTCATGTAGGTAGGTAGTGTTCCTTCCTGACAGTGGTTAGATAAAACCTAGGTGATCCCTTGAGGTACCCTCCACCTTGATTTTCCTTGAGTTCAGTACAGTAACTATAAATTATGAAGACTAACAGCACTGCTCTTCTGGCCTCACCTGTCTGTGAATCCTTGTTTCTGCCACTTTCTTCAGGGATCCCAATGGTTTCCTGTTCATTCTGCTCAGAAAGAGAAGCATCTTTAGGTCCAGGAGCTTCTGCCACATCATCATAACCATCTTCAAGGGTATTTCCAGGCAGTGGAGAGACCTCTGAAACAATACCGGTATTAACTATAACAGGGAGAGATCTTCCACTAGAGAGAGCAGTAGCTGATGATCCAGAGATAAGGGCCTGTAATACTGACAGTCTCATGATGACAATGAACGATAAGAAACCAAGAATCCTCCTGAGGACTCTAAGGTATTCCAGACAAAAATGATATAGCTCCAATAATTGTTATACATTGCTGTAACAAGTAGAAAGCAGAAATGAACATGGAGGAAGGACAGGAGAGGGAAGAAGATCTGGAGAAGGAGGCGGTTAGTGACAGGGTTTATTTCAGAGTAAGCTTCCCCATTGCATTTCATAATTGCACAATGACAAATTACTCCTTGTTTATCTCTGTGTAGGACTTGCTTCCTTGTCTTTTCATTGCTTTAACCACCTTCTGTTAAATTTCTCTGAAATGGACTTGCTAAGTAGCCACCGTTGGCTGTTTGCCTATGGACATGTGGCTACAAACTTAGGCCAAACCTTTGGAGAAAAATATCTGCAGTTCTGCTTCTCTTCTCCAGGCTAAACAACACCAACTCTCTCGGTCTTCCTTCACAGGAGAGCTTTTTCATACCTCTGATCATTTTTGTGTCCCTCCTCTGGACCTGTTCTAACAGGTCCATGTCTCTCTTCTGCTGTGGACCCCAGAGCTGGATGCAGTACTCCAAGTGGGGTGTCACCAGAGTGGAGCAGAGGGGCAGAATCAGCTCCCTCAACCTGCTGGCCACGCTTCTTTTGATGCAGCCCAGGATACAATTAGCTTTCTGGGCTACAAGTGCACATTGCTGGCTCACGTCCAATTTGTCACCCACCAGTATCCCAAGTCCTTCTCCACAGGGCTGCTCTCAATCCGTTCATCCCCCAGCCTGTACTGATCCTGGTGATTGCCCCAACCCAGGTGCAGGACCTTGCACTTGGCCTTGTTGAGCTTCATGAGGTGAAGTTCATATTCACCCTTTTCTCAAACCTCTCAAAGTCCCTCTGGATGGCATCCCTTCCCTCAAGCGTATCAGCTGCACCACTCAGCTTGGTGTCATCTGCAAACTTGCTGAAGGTGCACTCGATCCCACTATCTATGTCATTAATAAGGATATTGAACAGTACCAGTCCCAATACGGGCTCCTGAGGGACACCACTTTTTACTGATCTCCATTTGGACATTGAGCTGTTGACTGCAACTCTTTGGATGTGGCCATCCAGCCAATTCCTTATTCATTGAATAGTCCATCCATCAAACTCAGTTCTGTGAGTAGCCAGCTCTCTAATTCCTCAGGGGCAGTTAGCTCTGTGGTCTGTACTTAACTGGAAGCCATCCTTCAGAGAATATCAATTTTCACTGTTTTAAATGTGTCCATATGCACGTGGACATAAAAATAATACACATATAAAATTAAAAGTCAATCAGAACACTCCTATTTCACTTTTTACCTAGTACTCAATATTCAATCTGAATAAGAAAAAGAGACATTATTTGGAATAATTGCCTTCTCGATGAGAATTTCAAAGCAAGTAAGGAAAAGAACAGCTTTTAGTTTAATTTTAAATAATAAAAAACCTTAATATAAGAAAAACAATAGAAAATAAAATTAAAGACATAGCACAGCAGAGAGTCAGGGATATGGGCAGCTGAGGTCCAAAACTGCTCATGCCTTTGACAGTTGATCTCTCTGAAACCAGGCAATAGCTAAGAGAGCTTTTCGATCAGCTCCAGGAAAATGCAATTCTTCTCCAAACACTTGCTCTCCCTCAGCTTTTTCAAATTAGAAAGACCCCATATCTGGCAAACTGCGTTTTCTTCAGATCACTCAGATTAAAATTCCCTAATGAACTGCAATGGTATGCCAATGTCCTTATTTGGAGCATGTTTTTCCTCTGTCTTAATTCTCCCCATTTATCTCAGAAATGAAGCAACAGCTCACAAGCTGTTACAGTTGCAATTTCTGGGAGAAGCAGTTGTCAAATTGTTGGATTCATGTGACTGGATCCTGTGAAGAGTGCAATACTAACAGCAAACATTTATTTTCAACTTCTCATATAGATGAGAAGACTAGCACTTGTATATGAGATTTTATGACATTCTTCCACCACAAGAGGTAAACAGAAATTTTTGGTTCACATCAAAACATCACTAGTGGACATGAAGTGCAGAAATAAAAAAAGTTTTAATCACCACTAATGCTTTGGAAATTAAAAGCTACCCTGATTATAGATGTCTTTCTTTGTAGGGTCCCCATCTTCCATTACCTTGAGTTGCTCCAGGACCATTTTCTTCATCACTGTCCCCACTGTAAAACTGTGCCTTTGTTTTTGAACTCTCTGAATAAGAAT